ATCATCATCATCATCATCATCATCATCATCATCATCATCATCATCATCATCATCATCATCATCATCATCATCATCATCATCATCATCATCATCATCATCATCATCATCATCATCATCATCATCATCATCATCATCATCATCATCATCATCATCATCATCATCATCATCATCATCATCATCATCATCATCATCATCATCATCATCATCATCATCATCATCATCATCATCATCATCATCATCATCATCATCATCATCATCATCATCATCATCATCATCATCATCATCATCATCATCATCATCATCATCATCATCATCATCATCATCATCATCATCATCATCATCATCATCATCATCATCATCATCTTGTTTTGTTTGTCTATTTTTATAACTGGATTATTAGCTGAATAGGTGAATCAGACTAATCTATAGACTGATAGACTGTTAAACACATACTTTAGCCATAATTTTACGATAACGAAGAGATAGACTGTCGAAATCATGAATTTTTCACTAAAACCTGTAATTGATCATCATTATATATATGGCTCTTTATTTTTCGAAGATTTGTAATCGATTTCTTGAATTTTACATTAAACTGTTTTTACAATCAAGATTAATGTACTTCAGTGAAAACTTTCTGAGAGATCTATAGAATTACATCAGAAGAGAAAATCATCGAGTCATTTATGACCCAGTGATTAATTTATTAATAGGATTAATGATGGATTAACTTTTCTAAAATGTTTTGTTGTCATAAATTCGAGGAATATTAAAGACATAATATAAGATGGTGGTTGAAAGCAGTCAACAAGAAATCCTGGACCTAGGTTTCATGCTATATGGCACTCGTCAGCAAGGTGTACCTGTAATCTTAAGGGAACTGGTGCTCCGTGACGGATTCGATCCCGTGTCACTCAGCTTTACAGTCAGAGATGTTATCACTGAGCTATCCGGTCCGCGAATAACCTCCTGTAGGACAGATATTTATTTATAATTGATTGATCACTGGGTGGTGGGTGAGTAATTTCATGTATATCAGATCCTTCTTAGTGCAGATCGAATTTCATTTTGTTTCTAATACAAGATTACTCAGTTGTGAATATCCAACACTTCACAAACAACCTTCAGATATTGCCATGAATGTCTAACAATTACAGTCGCTAGACCAGTGTTAAGTAGTTTGTGAGGATTATCAAACAATGAAATTAGTTTTTATTATATGGAGATGTCAATTCGAATTCTATTAGAAGGAACTGAAGAGTTATCTTTACCTAGTTTCGAGCTAAAAATCCAGTAAGAATTTCAAAGTCCTGTTTAAAGAAAGTGATTGATTAACTTTAAATATATCTGGTTTGAAGCAAATATCACTACTGATAGTTTATAATTTGAAAATGTGGACTCAGGTTTCTGAAACTGATAGTATTAGGCTCAAGGATTATGTGTAGATTTGTAGGTATACAGCTTTGATAACTTCACGAAATATATCCAGTTGTTACTGGTAATTAGTAACTGTATATTTAAAATCATGAAATCGTCTTAGACAATCGTTGAAAACCAGAGAAAGGTGGACAGGAATTTCCTATCGTCATTAGGACCTCCCCATCGAGGATCGAATACAAAACTTTCAGGTCCGGCAGATAAAGTATATTCTTTAAACCACTGTAAAATTCAGCATTCTCCAAAAATCTCTCACGTTATTGACCAGTAATTCTTCAACGGATTTCAGCATGTGGTTATGAGAGGATAGAGAAAATTTGTAGCTCAGGAGCTTTCATCAAAGTTCCACGACCAAACCATTCAGCTCAGAGAACAAAACTCCATCAACAACATGTGTTTATAATTAACTAGATATCATGTTTGACTTTAGATACTTAAAATAAAGTCAAATACAGGCAAAAAGTTAATGGAGAGACGGTAAATTCACTGTTATTATATAGAAAGCTGTATCATAGTGGGTAGAGTTTTTTCACCTGGTATATGAATACATGTAACTGTACAAAACATAGCTAATTAGTAACCATAAATCTTCATTTTGTCTAAAAAGTTTTACAATATTAACAAGACTAATGATCTAATGAACATTTCTAAATATCAGATTAGCAATTTTAATTAGGTAAATATGTTATCGTTCCTATTGATATTCTAGATACTAGATGGTTGGATGGAAACGGTAAGATACTTGTTTTGTTGGAATTCAAACTCATTATGATGTATCAATGATCTTGGGAGAAATGTTGCTAATCATGGGATTTGAATATCCTTTAGTAAGCTACACATTCTGTGACACTACTGCTAAGCTATTCAGAGTGTAGCTGACCTCTCATAGAATCGAGATTTTAACGTTGGTTAATCATTTAGTGGTAGCCTATTCTAAGTGATCGAGTCTAAGTATGAAAAGCCTTTTGACACGGGGTCAAATCTCCTGAGGAACATTAGTTCCTTCAAGACTGCAGGTACTCTTTAAAAACGAGCACTAACTGACATGAAATGTAGGTTCACAGTTTACTGTTTACTGATTCCAATAATATATCTTCATGACATAGTGCACCCAATGTACAGTCACTTTGAATAGTGGCTTTATTGCAACATGATCGTTAGAAACTGAACAGTATTAAGTACTAGACAAGTATGACAATGTTTGATTCACCTATCTATATTAAAATCAATGAATTTGTAAAATTCAACCGGATAGAAAAGAATTCTGGAGTTTCGTTATCCTGATTGAAGACACTACTTGAAATGATAAACATCATGGATTGTGCTAGTTTACTTTAAAATAATTACAATAACAAATCAGATTACACAATCCATGATAAAAACCTACTTGTTTTGCAGTTAAATCACTATTCTCAATACATAAGCAAATTAATAGTGTTTTTTAATCAAAGCTAAGTGGTGGCTAACAGCGGAATCCAGGACTCATGGTTTGTCCTATTTGAGACTTGTCATATGAATTTACTTAGATCCTAATGTTGGTATTCACTGTAAGACTCAAACCTAGTGTTTCTACTTAAAACGTTATCCACCTAGCTACAGAATTCAGAGAGCCAATATATGGTGATACGGAGATGAATTTAATCTTACAAATAAAATAAAACGGATGTAAAATTTTATTATTTTGATGCAATAACATAGTGCGATTTAAATACACCTTATTAATGTACATCTTATTCTAACCTTTATGAAGATATAAACTGTACAGTCATATGATGAATTTATTGAAAATGATATTACTTACTTAATTAATTACTTACGTCTGTTACTCCTCATAGAGCTTAGGCTGCCGACTAGCACTCTCCAACACACTCTGTCCTGGGCCTTCATTTCCAGGTCTGTCCAATTTTTGTGAATTCTTCTCATGTCTGTCTCCATTTCTCGACGTAATGTGTTCGTCGATCTCCTTTACCTTTGGCATTGAGGATTCCATGTCAGGGCTTGCCTTGTGACTCAGCTGGATGCATTCTTTAATGTGTGTCTTATCCACTTTCAACGCTTCTTCTTAATATCTTCCTCCACTGGGATCTGGTTTGTTCTCTCCATTGATATATTAAGGAATTCTTTATTAATGCTTATTAAGTAAATTACCATTTTACCATGTAAATGAACGTAAATAAAATTGTATCTAATCCTAATTATCCTTCATTTTTGCATAACTGTCAAAGTAAAAGAAGATTTGTAAAGATTGTCCAATGGTAAAGATAGATCCTAGTTTAAGTTAAAAATTCATGATCTCAACCAAAAACTTAACAATCTCCACAACTCCCATACTGATAATTAACATATGCTCACTAGTGACTAGCTTCGTGAGGGAATTCTCGGAGTTCTAGTGAGAAGTCGTGACCAGTGGAGCTAATCCGTGTCGGGTTGAGACAGGTATCTACCTCAGTACAATGGAAGTTGGTCACGCAATTTCGTGGATTGGTTGATGTTAGACACTAACACCATTGGATGCCGGCTCAGTGGTCTAATGGTTAAGCGCTCAGGCGCGAAGCCAGTAGGTCCTGGGTTCGAATCCCGCTCGCGGGATCGTGGGTGCGCACTGCTGAGGAGTCCCATACTAGGACGAAACGGCCGTCCAGTGCTTCCAGGTTTTCAACGGTGGTCTAACATCAATTGATTCATGATCTCAACCAAAAACTTAAAAATATAAACTACTGAATTTCGACTCAATAATCTAAACATACCATCCTTACCATGGTATCAAAAGTTGTTGACCTCAAGCATTAAATAGGATTGTGAATTAGCACTGATAGAAAATTCTCGAACTACAATATGACAACTTTTTCACTTTAGTATGGATCTCTTTAAAAGTTTGGATCTACAACTGTTTAACGAAATATGATCATCTAGTCTTCCTAGATTTTCAATGATTATCTAACTTAAATCTAACAATCTCTACAATCCCTACACTCATAGATGATGAGTAGCATTTAGTGCTCCCTAATTTTCATGATGGAGCTGAAACTTGGAGGACTACAACAATTACCATCAAGAAGGTATAAGTATTTATAAACAGTTGTTCATGCGAGATACTCAACATCCATTGGTCGGATACCATCAGTAACAGCCTTCTCTGGGAGAGAACGAACCACCTTCCAGATGAAGAAGAAATTAGAGAAAGACGATGGAAATCGATAGGACATACATTACGCAAGTCATCAAACTGCATCACGAGGCAAGCCATAACTTGGAATCCTGAAGTGAACCGGGAAAGAGGAAGGCCAAATAACACATTACGTCGAGAAATAGAATCAGATTTGAAAAGGATGAATAACAAGTGGAAGGAGCTGGAAAGGATTGCCCAGTTAGGTGTTGAATAGAGAATGCTGGTGATCGGCCTATTCTTCTTTACTAGGAGTAACAGGCATAAGTAAGTGTGTAAGTAAGTTTTCACGATTCCCCTAATCTAAATCATTTAGTGACATCATAAATATTTTTCAAGTTATCTTTATCGTTTCATTTTCTCTTCTTCATGTATTCATAATTATTTTTAATTTTAGATGTTGGACCAGCTAAAGTGACAACATCCACTAAAACATTTTACGAATATTTAGATAATGTTTATACTCAAGGTGGTGGTGATTGTCCAGAAATGACAATAACTGGCATTGAATTAGCATTGGAAGCATCTAGACCAAATTCATTAATTTATGTTTTTACAGATAGTAGCGCTAAAGATTATAATCGTACAGAGAAAGTGCTCAATTTAATACAACAAAAACAAAGTCAAGTAAGTGAGATTATAATTTATGAATGAATCAATCAAATTTAGGGTAACAAATCTTGAATTTCGGCCAAAAATTCACTCATCCATTTAGATAAATAGAATTATATCATTATAGATAATGTCAGTTTGTGATGAGAACCCTGAATATGATTCTTAACCCCGACCAACAACTGTAAATCTTAGACCTTATTCACACAGGTTTATAAACCTGTAAGTGGACATTCTTAAGGTCAATTCAGCGTCGCTCGAAGGTTGTCCATAAATTATAGTCTCATCATTTATTGTTACCGAGATTATTTTAAGATTATTATTTTATTCTAATTTATTTATTTAGACACATAAATACTAGTACAGGGGGGGCACCAGATACATATGCGCTACGCAACTCACATTTGATTTGTGCGAGGGCTGTGATGCTAACTGGGTGTCAAACTGAAGTAGGTGGTTTACTTAGGGGGCCACGCCTTCAGCGTTCAATCTAAAGGTCTGATCCACACTGCAGCGGAGCATCGTGAGGAGATGCAGTCCCATAGTAGTCGGTGACCAACAACTGGTTGATACTCCATTTGTTCCCGCAGGACACTGGATCCCATGTGCACCATTGGCTTGAAGTCAGGGCTGTCCAATTCCTCTGGGTGAACCCTCCATGTCTACCAACCCGGCTAAAGCACCGGATAATCGCTTTGCGTCCTCTCAGTTCCGTAAACTACACTCAAGTCACGAGAACGCAGTGACTGAAAGTCGGTAAAAGTGTAATATGTAGTACTATGTCATTCTCAATGTCAGTCTTAATAAACGAGTGTTCGAAATAAATTTGGTCATCCCAACCCGTATTTGGGATCCTGTTAATACCATCGCACAAACGGGCTTACCCTAGAGTAATATACGAAGTTAAATTGATGATCTATCATCACGGCGTATACATAGAACGGAGTCAGATCAACGAGACACTAGAAAAGTGTACTTTAGGGACGAGCCAATCAGAATCGAGAATGAGGCTTTTCATGTTATACATAGCAAGCAGTAGAAATACCTTTGTATAGTGCTCAAAATGTTTAAAATGATAGTGGAAAGTTATTTTTCACAACCATAAAGTAAAAAAAACATATTGTTAAATGTATCAAATACCTAATTCTATCTCTGAAGATAGTATGCAACAGGCAAATCGAAACTAACCCTAAATTCTAACCCATAGTTCCGAAACAAACTTAAACTTGGTAGAACTACATTTTATGAGAGAACTAAATAGATAACACCATTTGATCTTAACTTAAAATACCTAACCCCGAACTAGGAACACTTTAGGGGCTTTTAAATATCTGCAATAAGAGTAAACTTCGGACTGATTATCGATTAAAAATTTGTCTACACTATGTAGAATTATTGTTTTATTTCTCATCAACTACGTATTCATGAGAACTGTTTTCTGACTGGCTAGAAACAAGCCAGAAATTCGTCGTTGTTTTTTGATGCTCATCCCTATACTATAGTATAGGCGAGATATCCGTCTACCAACCAAAGGATGAGTTTACTGTGCGGCAGTTCGTTCCGTCCTACTTTATGGTAGTGAAACATGGCCGATAAGGGTAGAGGATATTCGTAGGTTACTAGTATTCGATCATAGGTGTCTTCGAAACATTGCTCGTATATCATGGGACCATCGAGTAAGTAACACAGTTGTTAGGAAACGGGTACTAGGTAAGGATGACAAATCAATTGATGAAGTAGTGAATCTTCATCAGTTGAGATGGCTGAGACACGTGTTACGTATGCCCAGCCACCGACTGCCTCGACGTGCGATGTTCAGTGGTATAGGAGTAGGTTGGAAGAAAGCTAGGGGTGGCCAGACCAAAACATGGCACAAGTCCATGAAGTCACTGAAAAGTGGGCTGAGTCATGTTGGTAGGTGTAGACTACCTGGTTGGGGACCGCGAGATGATAGCAACCGATGGTTAGAGACCCTGAATGACATGGCTCAAAATCGTTTGCAATGGCGCAGGTGCATCCACTCTTTGTGTTCTCCAAAATTCAAATCTACTGAATTCGTCATGTCCCTTTTTTTCTCTTTCCAAGTATGTTTTACTGGATTATACTTCAAACCCTAATCTTTCCGATTACTGCTTATACTTTTACTACCTCTACCACTACGGGATTTGAATCAACATTTGTATCTGTGTACTAATATGGTGATGGCAACTCGAACGTACGTACGCACCTGAGCTACAAATCTTCTCCACCATCTCAAAGTACGTACGATGTTCTACATTGTTACTGACTGACTGATAGTATACTACTATGTGGTCTAAAGTTTTGTTTTGATAATTTTATTTAATTTTAGCCTTACAATCTATATTATATTTATGGTATACCTTGAAAATGTAATATATATGTTATAGATTACATCATAAAATAATTTTAATTCGACAAACACTGAAAATCAGGTATACTCAAGACAGTTATCTCATTTTATTATGGAACTGGTGAACGAAATGCACACCTGATTTCACTATTTACCAAAGCCAATACGTTCAAGTCTTGTAGTGATCACCTAGCCATTAAATCTCTGAGTTAATATCTAATGGTTAAGATATTTATGGTATTGACTATAAAATTCGACAAATTTCCGAAACTCCTTAACTACTATCACTACTACTAATATAATGATAATAGTAATGTAATGTCTGTTGTTAAAGTTCGACTAAAGATGAAATGACAATATCGGAATTATCATTTATAATTTCATAAGTTGAATGGGCTATGGCAATGCCTCAATTAATTGTTACCCATAAAAATATTGGAAATTATATTAAGTATTTTAAGTACAAAAGTGATACATTTAAATTCCATATTGTAAACTGCCCTCAATCAGTTAGTCAGCTACAACTTAGGATCAAGCACATGTATGCATCGGTTCAATTTGCCATACCTCATTAACACAACAAGATGAACACTAGATTCATAGAAGTAGTTAATTCAATGGTGGTAATATATATATTACAGGATGATAGAATTAGTTTGTAGAAAGAAAGATATGAAGCGATTTTAATCTCTTAGTTTAAGGGAAGACAGGTACCTCCAGAACAACCCATCCACGGTGTGGGCAACCGGGAAGTGATAACCGCCCTCATACCTCTAACAGCATTCAAGACCTTTGTATTCATAATCAACCTTCCATAAATTGCCCTCAATAAGTAGTGAATGATAATGATCTTTTGAAATACTCTCATTAAGTTGATTTTGTATATACTCCTGATATGACTAACTACCATCTATCTTCGTACATGATAATGATTATTGTGAGAGTATACTGAGAGAAATGTAGAGATGACGAAACCAAACGTCCATCAAGTGATTGACTGTTGAAATGAGCCATGCTGATAGATGTAAACTACTTCATTTGGATCTTTGTGAATATCATAAACAACTGTTGAAGAGGCTGGAATTGTTCACAATGGCACAGATATACACTCCCCTTAGATCTAGAGTGACAAAATTATCTGAGTACTTTTTTATTCCATAAATTCGTATTTTCTTATATCATACTGTCTACATCTAATCTTCCCCACTGTTATTGATATTGCCATTACTTCTGTTATTCTGATCTCACATTGAGCTTATGAAGTGTGGCAACTTGAATCAATGTATAAATGTCCCAGGATCTTTGTTGCTTATGACTGACTAGCTATGTGATCGATTCTGTTTGGTAGATGAAATTACAAGTGTATTAGTTACTCATCAACAGTGTTTAACGAGAGTTTTAACTGAAATTTTACACTTAATAATGTTGTACATGTTGTTCAAATGATTTTAGCTCATTGACACGAAAGCATAGTGTACACTTCCAGATATAAACGGTTTGAATTTGATCACTGTTGACGCCATGTATGTACATTTACAGCATCAACTGATTTTTACTTCAGCACTACTCATTTTGTGTTTGTGATTATTACTTGTACTTTCTTCCATAGTAACTAAATAAAACAGTAAGTGGGCGCCTTATGCTCTTCCAGAAGGAGTAACAGGCGTAAGTAAGTAAGTAAGGACATAAAACAGACACTGAATAGCGAAGTGATTTATTATTCTCTCCTATAAATGTATTTCAAATAAAATTTTAAACATTCGTAACAATATTTCTGTTACAATTTACTATTATTATTTATAATTAAGGTTGTATTTGTTCTAACTGGATTTTGTAATACAACGGATGAACCTGGTTTCGAAGCATATCGTCAAATTGCTACAGTTAGCTCTGGTCAACTTTATATTATTGGTAAAGGTCAAGTTAATGAAGTGAGTGAATGATAATTTCTTCCCGATATTTTCATTATCATTTTCTTGTTGAAATTATATCTTCTATATAAACAAAGATGGATAATGGCTAGCAGTGGAATCTAGGACGCGTGTTTCGTCTTATCAGGGATTCATCAACTGGATATACCTACATCTCAGAGCTGATATTTACTCCAGGACTGAAAACCAGTGACGTTCGCCTAAAACGCCATTGTGTTATTCACTTAGCTACTGAGTCGTGATAGCCACTAGTATGTGAAATGGGGTAAAGTTTAAATTCACTTTGTACCGGTTGTTTGAATGTTCACATTGATGTTTAGGACTACAATTGATCAATCTCTTAATAGCATATGTGCGTCCTGTACGTACTTTCTTGATACTGCCTTAATTCATAAGCATTATAAGCAAAGATAGATAATGCTTGTAACCTGAGGCACTATCAATAAATCCACACGAGATGTACATATACCAATGAGAGACAGATCAATCGCAGTCCTAAACATCAATGAGAAGATTCAAGTGAACAATACCAAGTGAATTTACATTTTTTATATTTTATGGTAATTGTGGTCTGGATTGAAATTTATGAAGTAAAATGTGATTGGTTGTTCCTAAAATTAACTGGATGCGCATTTTTGAGGAGTCCCATACTGGGACGAAACATCCGTCCAGTGCTTCCAGATTTTCCATGGTAGTCTAGCTTTAATTGCCTCATGAATTCAACTATTAAAACTTAATTTTCCATTGATGGGTTTTTACAAACAAACAAATGCTAGATGATGTTCACCAGTTACTGGAGCTGCACATGTATGTGTACCGTTTTCACGGCACAAGGAGTCGCACAGTTGCCGACCGCACTTCCACTTCAAGTTAGGACCATACAGGTTTATTGGTTTGTCCTGCTTGATCACCGGACATCCAGTCAGCCACTACATATTGAGACACCTCCAGATAAACACCTTATAAATTAAATCGGTCCCTACCATCCATGCCACTACCCACACCTCAATCTTCAACGGCAGTAGGGCGGACTTAACCTAGCCAATCCCGGGGCCACATCTGGGTTACCGGGCTACCAAATCCATACGTTAACCAGCAGCAAATGACCGCCAGTCAAAGGATCATTTCCAGCTACGGTAGGTTCCTCTAGAGCACACATGTTACCATAAGGATGACTTCACGTGGCCAGGTCAACGGCTAGAGCCAACCTAGACTGAGCCTCCCCACCACACTAGCCCAGATGGACCAGTGCAAGATGGGGTAGTAGTCAGATGTGGCCGTGCGCACCCTCTACATATTACTATACCGGGCACCTTTACCGGCGCACAGTAGCCCAACTGGAGACACGAGACATTTTAGCCGCAGCATCAAATAGATACCACGCTACTAGCGGGAACCACGAAGAGGCAGTCGTCATGCAACCATGACTCCCGAAAGGCCCAAATATATGACGAGTCACCAGGCAAAAGATGACGAGGCATTTGACTACCCTAAGGGAGTCATAGTTATTACCGCCGACCAGAATTCTACAACTCACTCTGTCCTGTGTCTTCATTTCTAGTTCTATCCACTCTACATCATATCACTAAATAAATAAAACATATTTTTTTCTAGTGTAAGATAATCGTAATTTGTCTGGGTGAATTGTTTTTTGTTATGAACTTACCAAATGTATCCCTAAGATTTCGTTCACATTACAAACCTTGAATTCTAGATCAATATACATCTATTCTTAAATAGATTATTGAATGATTCTTAATGTTTTCAAGTTTGCTCCCAATAAATTATTTAAGATAAACAGTATCAATAGGTTTAAGTGAACAGACTTCTTTACATACGCTATCTCATATGCATAATATTAGGATACTTTAAGTGAAGTAGTGAATTTCTATTACATTTTTCAAATAATGTAATCTGAATGAAATGAATGAAAGTTCGTTCTTGAAACTTTTGAAATAGATGATCATTTCTATTGAATGAGACAAATTAAAGTTTGTCAAGTTAAAGTAAATAAAGTTGTATTGTAGTGTATGCTAATTGTGTCCGTCGACATAAGTAGGATGTAAAACCGATCAAGAGTTAAGATGGTGGTTGGAGGTAGTCAACAGGAAACCCTGGATCCGGATTTCGTGTTATTTGGCACTCGTCAACAAGATGCGCATATAGTAATGAGGGAACTGGTGTTCCCTGACGGATGTGCTCCTGTTGTACACAGATTCACAGTCAGAGACATTATCACTGAGCTGTCCGAGCCGTGAAAAACCTCCTGTAGTGGTAGATAGCATTCGATCTGCACTAAAAAGGACCTAACATACATGACATTGCTCACCCACCACTCGGTGATCAATCAATTGTGAACCGATAAAGAGTGGAATGCCTATCAAAATGAAGATTGAACTAAAGAAAACAGAAATGGAAACATGAAGGAATTGGAACTGGTTTTCCCTAGTATATATATTAATGGAAGTAGTTGTTACATCCCGATGAGAATAATGAAGGTAACTGTTGGAATCTATTTCTGGACTAATACTATAAGTATATTTTTATCATGTAATTGTTAAGTAACTAAACTATTCATATTCGTGTCCCTCTTATCTTAAGCTTTATTTTGACCACTGAACTATTATTATACGATTTACCATTCTTGAGTTATGCACGGTCTATCAAAGACTACCTGCCACATTCACAGCCACATTTGGCTAAATCTTGTACAAATGTTGTTTCCTATTTTATGATACGATGTGGTCTGTTTGGTTAGTACATAAATCCAGTGTGTTTGAAATCAACGATTCATATCGTAGAGGCTGAGATTGGTGTTCTGGACTCAACAAGCAATTAGGGCTAGGCAGGAAGCAGGACCGATAAGGACTCTAGACTGTTCGTACTTGTTTTGTACGTCATTGGTTCGATCGATAATTCACTGTTCTCTAATTGGCAGTATCATCACGTTATACATTAACAGAGCAGATAGACCACAAGCTATAACAGTAATAATAGTAATTCTCTATTTATTTTAGCGTTATTATGATCTTGTTTGGTTCAGGAATAAATACTGTAAAACAAAACTTTTAATACTGTAATAACTATTGGCCATGTACTTGTGAAAATGACTGTCTGATTAATTTAAACAAATAAGATTAATAATAAATGGTATCGTGTTTACCCCATTTTGAACTACCATCTTTTGTCAGGTTATGAAGTAAGCAAGTAAGTAAATAAGTAGTAAGTAAAAGGGTTAATCACTGAACTACTGAGTCCCGATAGTTACTAGCTTATGTAATCGGGAAATAAAAATTAAAAAAACCCAACTTCATACTGTATATGCTTTCACAAATGTAAATATATTCTATTAATTATTATTGACCGGACACTATTAGCAACAACCAACTGTGAGAAAGAACAAACCAGATCCCAGCGGAGGAAGAAATCAGGAAAAAACGTTGGAAGTGGATAGGACACACATTAAGGAAAGCGCCTAACTGTATCACAAGGCAGGCCCTCACATGGAATCCTCAAGGCCAAGAGGGAAGAAGAGGAATACCAAAGAACACATTAAACCGGGAAATGGAGATAGACATGAGAAGAATGAACAAGAATAGGATAAAACTAGAAAAAGAGGCCTAGGACAGAGTGGGTTGGAGAATACTGGTCGGCGGCCTATGCTCCATTAGGAGTAACAGGCGTAAGTAAGTAAGTAAGTAATAATTATTGGGTAGGCCAAAAAGTGAGCATTATCAAACTTTAGTAATACGGATAATTGTCCTTAGTAAGTAAATTGCAAAACTGTACTTTGTTAGCCATTGTAATCTTATTCAACCATCATACAATGTAAATAAATGTACTTAGGATGAATGTACCATTATTAAAAAACACACCTTTATATTCTAGTTTATGCAAGTGGTTGAAGCTGCTGTTGAAGCACGTAAAGTACATATACTTCAACAAGATACATTGAATACCGAATCAAAAACTTATAGTTTCCCAGTCGATTCTCATTTATCACAATTAACTATACAAGTAACAAATCATCAACGTGATCGTGCAATCAATGTAAAAATTCGTAATCCTGAAGGTAATTCTAATCTGTTATTATTATTATTTATATTTGGTTAAATTTTCTTCAACTACTTACAACTTGTAATAAAATAGTGGTTGGAGATAACCAACTACCATGGTGCACACAATGTCGATTCATTTAGACTAGTGGCCAAAATGTAACTTGGTCGATAAGATTTGATCTGCACTAAGAAAGACTCGACATACATGTTATTAATCACCATCCAGTAATTAATCAATTGTAAATACAACTTGTAATTTTTTTTTGATGGAGTTTTGTTCTCTGAGCTGGATGGTTTGGTCGTCGAGCTATCATCATTCTTCTGAACGACAGAACTTGTTCTGTACAGCTGTACAGAACAGGCTGTGTAACGCATATGGAGAAATTCGAACACTTCATTACTATCTAAAGTTTGTGCTGATAATGTCGTTAAGAAGGACGATAAAAGTTCCACGACCAAACCATCCAACTCATAGAACAAAACTCCATGAAAATCCTAGTTTGAATCCTTGTCAATCTGTATGGTTTTATATTGCTTAAATGGTGAAAAGTCTGGTAAAACAACTATCTAGTAACAAGTGGTTCTCTTTAAGTATTCAATATATTAGACTAATTAATTTAAGATTCAAAATATTCTGTATATCAACTTATGTCAATATTGATGGATTTTGACATTTTTAGTGAGTAGAAGTTAACAACTAGGAAAGTTTAAATGTAAATGTCCTATTTGCTGAATAAAATAATCCATGTTAAATGTAGAAAAAAGAACTAGCTCACATAAAGGTCTATCACAAAATTACTTCGTTACTTACTTAGGCCTGTTACTCCTAATAGAGCATAGGCCGCCGACCAGCATTCTCCAACACACTCTGTCCTGGCCGTTCCTTTCCAGGTCTATCCAATTTTTGTTCATTCTTCTTATGTCTGTTTCCATTTCTCGACGTAATGTGTTCTTTGGTATTCCTCTTTTCCTTTCGTCTTGAAAATTCCTTGTGAGAGATTGTCTTGGGATGCAGTTGGGTGCTTTCCTCAATGTGTGTCCTATCCAATGAATTACAAATTAATAGGAATTAATTAATAAAAGTTGGAAGATTGGATTAGTTAGTCATAGTTGTATACAAATGATTCATGTGAACACTTCTAATGTATTAAATGTTGATTTAATCTTAGTAAAACCTTTTTAATTTATATCCCAAATATTTGTGGTAGTCAAAAATACTACTACTAATAAGATAATGGATAATAGAGGCCGCCAAACGATGGAGTGCCATTAGTCCATGAAGTCATTATTGGTCTGATCTAATATTGTTAAATGAAAACAACCTGATTTGAGCCCACATGATAAGCACAATCAGAAATTGGGTGACATCATATAGAATTGGTCATAACAACGCTGGTTCTCAGTTTCAGTATTCCTTCATACAACCTTTTTATTTTACTTTCTAGAACTGTATACTTACTTTTTAATCTTTTTCATTATCATTTCTATTACATAACGTCGGCCATTCTAATGTGTTCACGTGGTAAAGGAACTTCGGCCAATAAAATTTATGTCGAGCTCTACTTTGAGTATAATTTACTAGTTGAGTAGATTCTAGAAATTGTTAATATATTCAGTAGAATATTTTATTTATAATAACTTTAAATTGAATACTTGTCATTACACTGAATGGTAACAAGCTGTTGGTAAACAAGGCGGATTTTTATGCAAACCCCTTCAAGATTTGTTAATTTTTATTGTATAATTAGAAAAATCTGCTAGTTTGAATTATACTACTACTACCACTACTTAAGCCTCTTACCCCTCGTGGAGGAGCATAGGTCGCCCACCAGCACTCCCCATCCTAATTTGTCCTGGGCAATCCTTCCAAGCTCTTTCCATTTATTATTCATCTTTTTCCTTCTATTTCCCGACGTGACTTGTTCTTTGACCTTCCTGTTTTCCGCTTCCATTCAGGATTCCAAATTAGCGCTTGTCTCATGATGCAGTCACAATTATGGTTTATTTTAATTCATTTGTTTCCTTCAATGTTTTTAATTTTCTAATCAGGAAAATTAATTGATAAAGAAGATGGTCTAAAACAATTAATGAAAGCTGTAAAATCTGTATTTGTTGGATCAATTGATCGACCTAAACCAGGTCAGTGGACATTAGAAGTTGGCATTGATACAGAAGAAATTGATTCAGAAATAATGGATATGAATAACGACAATAATAATAATATTAATAATGATCATCATTTACAACGTGAACGATGGATTTCTGTTCGAGTTTCTGGTATAAGTGATGTTGATTTTTTGCAAGGATTTTCAACAACACCAAAATTGTATAATTATGGTGCATCAACACAGCCGATTGCAGGTTTGATTTCTTGAATAGTTAATTTTTATCTTTGTTCTTCGTTTCTTTATTTTTTGATTATTTGAATTATGGCATATTTGAGTGAACCGTGTTGGATTCAAAGCCCTGAGTGAACAAAAACTCTAAGATAAAGGTACATCCAAATGACGAGTCCTACATAGAACGAAAAGTGCGTCCAAGAATCCAATACTAGCCACTATCCATCTTCACTTAGAATGCTTGTGACTTCAGGCAATCCGCACAAGATGCACATATGCCAACAAGAGACTGATCAATTGTAGTCCTAAATAACAATAGGAAGATACAAGTCAAACAAGATCAAGTGAATGTAAATTCATGATCATTGTACTAAAATGGTCAAAATAAGGTATGGATAAGTGAACTACAACAGTGAACTCTTTGACTAATCAAAATTCAAATTATCTAAATTATAAAGTCAAAATCTCATTTAAGAAAGGTATAAGAAGAAGGATTCGTTTTAAGATAAGCTACAATCAGTATAATAAAATAAATCATGAACAAGCACAGAGCCTTCTCTATAAAGCTTATGTAACTAGCTCCGATAGAAGAGTTAAACTGATATACGCATATGGAAGATCTCATTAATGGTATTTCATACTTGATTAACTGAATAAGTACTTATTTAGTTGAGTAGGTAACATGCAACTTCATAGAGTTAAACATCCTGTTAGTAAATCTTCTTAGTCGATAAAAAAATTGCTATCCTTCAAGTCGTCTTTAAAATCAAATCTTTGATAAAGATTTTTTGTGCATCCTTTGCTTTTGAATTAAGACAATATCAAGGCAATCCGTACATGATACACATATTCCAATAAAAGATTGATTGTCCTAAACATCAATATGAAGATTCAAACAACCGGTACAAAATAAATTTAAACCTCAACTCATTTCGCAATCTAGTGGCTGTATGGACTCCGTAGCTGAGTAGATAACGTAATAGCTTTTGAAGCGGACAATACTGGATTCAAGTCATGGAATGAACATCAACTCTGAGATGCAGGTATATCCACCTAATGAGTACCAAATAAGATGTAACACACGTCCTCGATTCCATTGCTAACCTCCATTCATCCATCTCTGCTTAATCTTACTGTTTATCAGTTAAAAGATATACATGTACAATAGAAAACTATGTTGAACTATGCTGAAATCTGTTGAAATCATCCCTCAGTTTGTAAAAAAGATTATTTTGACATACCTACCTAGTAGAATTAGATAAATTCCATGTAACTATAGTTGATCAAAATGAAATGTTTAGATAATTAAACTATATCTTAAATTCTAACGATGAAAAAACTTCTTCAATAGTAAATAACGATACCATTATGAACAAGTAGTATGTGTTAAACGAAACTGTAACTCATACAAATCTGGTGAGAAGTCAAAGAATGATGTTAATATGAAGTTTTTATCTATCCTCCTAAAATAATATGCTCATTTATATTCACTTGATGTTGTTTCACTTGTATCTTCCTATTGTTATTTAGGACTACAATTGACCAGTCTCTTGTTGGCATATGTGCATCTTGTGCGGATTGCCTCGATATTGCCTGAAGTCATAAGCTTTTTAAGCAAAATAAAACAGAATAAAGTCGAGAATGTAGATCAATTCATTAGTTATAAAGTGATATGCTTTTAGTGAATCTCGAGGATCCCGAAATCTATCCCTGGTCCGGTTATGTATATGCTCTTCTAATTAGTCCTGAAGTAGAACAAAATAGATATAAAGTGATATGTGTTTTTTGGATAATACATTAACTAATATCGATACTTGGTGAAAACTAACTTACGATCTAAAAAAATTTGCACGAACCTATCAGTAGCAGTTCCATGTGTGTTTTTCTATGGCTCTGTTAGCAGGACCGTAGACTGGATTAAAGCATGCTCAATTCACAATTGCTTTGGTGCACGCCGATTGGCTAATTCTTATCCAATCAGCACTAGTCGATACTTGGAGAATACTCTAGATTCTTCTCATGTAAAAACTATAAATATACTAACATTTTCCCTATTGTGCTTCTTACTTGCTTCTCACTTCCATCTAACCTTGTTATTTGGAATATAATCACTTTCCTGTTCAACCGTGTTCTGATTTGGTAACTTGTTGAGTGAATCGGTGTCCGAGAATACTATGCAATAGGAATAGCTGGGTCATAACTGTAAGAAAGAGATTATAAAAGGCTCTGAAACATGACTTATGGAAGTGAAAGTTATATTCAGATTATAAGTATTTGATCATAGATGTTTTCAAACCACCTCTTTTACTTAGTGAAACAATCGACTGAGGTTGAACGTAGAGTTCTAGGTAAAGTTAACAAAAATTTAACAAGTCTATGAGTCTTCATCGACATAGATGACTGGGGCATATACCATATCCCAAATTATTCTTCGTCAAGAAATGACATTCTATCTGAAGTCAAAGTAGTTTGTAAGGAAGTTGGTGTCAGTCAAATCGATAACAATGAAACATAACCTCGTTTATTTTTTAAATCCCTTCTTTTCTAAAGAGTATTTATTCCAAAACTTTTCTACAGGTGTTCAAAATTACATTATGGTTAATATGACTGGACGATTTCTACCAGGACAAATTGATCATTTTGATATGCGTGGATCAAATGGTTCATCAATTGTACGATTACCTGTACAACAAACTGAAACATTTCAAATTTATGTTAGTCAACAAGCAATGGAACCAATTACTGGTCACAATTATCTTGAAGTATGTTTTCATCCAAATAAATTCTATTTATAGAAAAATAACAAACACTAATACAAAAATGTTTTCCTAAGACTGGTACAAAACAATTGAAGCAAAACTATTATAGAGAACCTAGAAGCACTGAACGACCGTTTCATCCTTGTATAAGACTCCTTAGCAGTAAGCATTCATGATTCCGCATGTGGGATTAGAACCCAGGATCTATCATTCTGGCGCATGAACTCTTGACGTTTAAACCCCTGAGCAGGCATCCGGTGGTGATGTCCAACTACAACCAATATACGAAATTGAGCGGCATATTCACTATTGTCATCAGTGATTTACTACCTCACAACAGACCTGGTCGAACTCTACTGGTAACTGATTGTCACCAGAATTCCAGGAAATATCTCCTGAAGCCATTCAGTAGTGAGCTCATGGTCATTATTATAAGAAGGGGGTTTTTGTGAAGATTGTAGTAATGTATTATTTGAGTTCATGAGTCTATTAAAGAGCTCGCGCGCAAGACTGGAGATCTTTGGTTCGAATTTCGCATGCAGGATTATGGATGCGCACTGCTGAAGAGTCATTTACTAGGATGAAATGGCCGTCCACTGTTTGCGGGTTTTCAACGATGGTCTAACATTGATCATTTCATGATCGCAATTTGTTTGACTATTTTCGTAATAAATTCATTCATTAATTGTATACAACGTTAAGTATTAATTTTTATTCATATAGGTTTTCATCAAACACTATAGCCATACCGTGATTTTTCCTTTTTACACTGATCTGAACTTACTAAATTCATCTTAGTTTCCGTTGTCTCCTATCCAATGTTATTTGATAGTAGCATTATTGTTTTCTTTTCAAATTTCACTCGCTAAAATTAATCGGCAAATTTAAAACATTTTTAGCATTTTATCATTGGTTATGATTAGTAAAACAAGACGTTCCTCACATACATTTCCAAGCCGCCAAATGCCCTGGTACGGTTGAGGGTTAGGAGAGAAAGCTCTTCCTCTTGAAATGCTCTCACATGGCCATGAGTATACAGCCTCTGCCAGGGAAGTCCTATTAACTGTCTCCTTGCGATATTACTGTTGTTTACCAAATTGAGAGGACGAAAAGCGAATATCCGGCTCTTTAACCGGGTTAGTGGATATGAGGGATCCACCTAGGGTGGTTGGAAAACCCTGATTTCAAACCAATGATGTACATGGACTCCTGGATCCTGAAGGGACGAATGGCGTATCAACCAATCGTTGGTCACTGGCTCATATGGGACTATATCTCCTGACGCTGCTCCATCAACCTGTGGATCGGACCTTCAGGTTGAAGGCTCCGGGCGTTGCTCTACAAGTAAACCTAACTTTCGTGATGGTTTCAGTTTAGTTACAATCTAACTTACTTACTCATGCCTATCATTCTCGATGGAGCATAGGCCGCCGACCAGCATTCTCCAACCCACTCTCGCCTGGGAATTCCTTTCCAGTTCTGCCCAATCCTTGTTCATTCTTCTCATGTCTGCTAACATTTCTCGGTTTAATGTGTTCTTTGGTATTCCTATTCTTCTCTCTTGGCCTTGAGGATTCCAGATGAAGGATTGTCTTGTGACGCAGTTCGATGATTTCCTCAATGTGTATCCTATCCACTTCCAACGATTCTTCCTGAATTCTTCCTCCGATGAGATCTGGTTTGTTCTCTCCCGCAGTAGGTTGTTGCTGATAATGTCTTGTCAACGTATAAAGCTGTTAATAAACACTTGTGTCTTCCGGATGATGGCTTTTGTAGTTCTTCAAGTTTCCGCCCCAGTAAACAGTAGAACTGTCTTGACATTTGTATTGAAAATTCTGACTTTGGTGTTGGTTGACTGTTGTTTTGAGTTCCAGATGTTCTTCAATTGTAGATATGCTTCTCTTGCTTTACCGATCTGTGCCTTCACATCTGCACCACATTCACCGTGTTCATCGATGAGGCTGCCCGTTTGGAGCCCCTTTGGGGCTACTGTTGATCTCTACCCCGGTTAAAGGAGGACGGTCGTGCATGGGGTTAGTAACCCTATCCCGTAGAAAATTAACTAGCCAAGAAAACGCCAAGGCAAAATAAAAACTTGGGATTAATTTATCCATGATACATTTAGAACAGTGAATTTGGGCAATCAAATAATGATTATTCATTAATAACATAGATCACATAAATCTTACACATAGTACTACTCATCATCTTGATATATAATTGAATGATTACAAAATTATCTAAAGTAAACACTGTATGATTTCTGATGTTCGGGTTCATTTGCGATAAAGTTACTACAAAAAAGATTATTGGTACATTCATCGATTTTCTCACAACATATTTAGTTTATAACAGGCTATCTACAATTAAATAGTGATGAATTTCAAGTCACATCTGGAATCAGTAAGCATTATTCCTAATCAGAAGGGGTTTGTGGAAATTTTAGAAATTTTCACAGATTGAAATCATGAGTCAGTTGAAGCTAGACCACCATTGAAAACCTGGAAACACTGGACATCCGTTTCGTCCTACTATGGGACTCAGCAGTACGCATCCAAGATCCCGCACCCCGCTGGATTCGAACCCAGGACCTACTGGCTTCACGCGCGAGCAATTAACCATTAGACCACTGAGCCGGCATCCTAATATTTAATAAATTGGTTCTGTCTAGTTAAATCGCAGTGAACAAGCACACAGGTGGGTACAATCGAATGTATTTGACACAAAATTACTGGACTTGTTAATAAAATCTAACAATCAACCAGTAAATACGTAATTTGCAAAATGTCCATCAATTGTCTCATAATAACTCAGACTTCATTGTTCTTGCATCTTCATACAAACCGCATTCTGTTTCCACTCTTTACCATTCAATCCACTTGTCTCTCTGCTGCCAGACATTCTGTTCACGACTAACATCATATACTACTTATGTCAATATAAGTAGCACACACCACAAAATCCCTAGAAGTAGTATCGTATACGACGTTTTTGAAAACGCCACATATATTGACCTATTTTTTTTAAAAAAAGGGTGTAAAAGTTGGTTCTATGTTCTATGATAGACGTTTCTTTGACTTCTATGTATATCAATCATTAATCGTAAATCATTTCTTGATATACAAGAAAACACTTTACATTGCAGATGAATAAAAAAGTAATTAGGAAACATATAGTCAACAATAACTTCATAACATTGAATGTATCTTTCAAGATGATTTACAAGAACAAATCCAACTGAATTATTAAGATATCATAGAAATCTAGATGTGATTGTTCCGAAAGTCAGTACGGCTACTTCTCTTGGTACGATTTCAGTTACTTTCACCTATGTATATTTTCTTTCATATTTCTTATTTCATGTGTTACATCATTCATTTATGATTGTATATATCAATGGATACAGGTATCTGGACGTGATGGACAAGGCTATCCATTTCAACGTTGTTCTAAAGTAGCATTATCTTCTAGACAACCACAACAAATTGTTGTTACATGTCCAGCACAAATTGATGTTAGAAGAGGAGCTACAGCAGAATTATCATGTTCTGTAACAAGTGAAATACCATATACAGTAAAATGGTTTAAAGATAAACAACCAATTACAGGATATCATGATGAAAATAAAGTTTACAAGTAATTATATTATATTATATTGTATATATAATAAAAGTAATCATAATGAGTTATTTTCTAATAAAGTTCCATTGAAGTAGATCTGGCTAACGTTCTTAGTGACTTAGTTTTCTACGGAACGGGGTCGCTTACCCCATGCCCAACCTTCCTCTTTTATTCGAGCTTGGGATTGGCAGTAGCAACAAGAGGGCTCCAGGCTTACTTATTGAAGTAGATTTACTAGGACTTATCTTTATTTCAATAAAATGACATAATATCATCATTTTTAATAGATAGCTTTATCATTAAGACCTATGATAATTTGAAATCATATTGAATTAATAATTAACTTTCTATAACAAATTTCTAAAAGAAGAAAATGACTAAGATACGATAGTGGTTAGACGTAGTCGATAGAAAAACCGGGATTTAGGTTCCGTGCCACTTGGCACTCGTCAGTAAGGTGTACATGTAATCTTAAGGAAATTGATGCCCCCTTAAGGATTCGGTTCCATGTCACCTAGATTCACAGTCAGTGACGTTACCATTGAGCCATCCGGGTCGCAGTCGACCTCCTACACTAAGAAGGACGTCACACACATGACATTGATCACCACTCAGTGAAGAAAACACCTACAGAGTACAAAATTTATTTATACTGAATTATTTACGTCATTGAATAAAACGTGCTTAACAGCTACTAATATTCTTGAGTTTATACTATCATAATGTTTTATTCTTTAACTCGGAACTCTTTACTACCAGTAAAAGTATTAAAACTTTCAAGTCAGCTTTACTTATTATAGATTCCTCTGTTCTTATAGGGATATAATATATATCAGAAGGGGATTTTATGGATATTTCGGGATCGTGAATGCGCACAGCCGAGGAGTCCCACAATAGGACGAAACAGCCATCCAGTGCTTTCAGGTTTTCCATAGTAGTATAGCTTCAAATGACTCATGATCTGAACTATTGAACTATGTATATATCACCTAATGTGAGGTTTAATTTCACACTTTCAACGTTAGGTCTATGTTATATTTACATGTCTGTAGAATAAAATAGAAATCTGTTGTTTTAAATTAACTAATTCAAAGAATGATAATTTTGTATTCAATTATTATTGTACTTCAGTTTCCCAACTAATGTTTTGTATACAATTACTGATGTCAATGAAGAATCACATGGGATTTATTCAGTCGAAGTAATACCTACAGTTACTGATGATGAGAAAAAGATTGAAGGTCAATATAAAGATGAAATATCTGTGAATATATTACGTAAGTTTATATTTGAGCAAACAAACCATTCTATTTAGATGATTTTACAATAATTATACATGAATGGTGGGAATCATTAGAAAATTGTGGACTTAGATTTTTGTACGAATTAAAGCTTATAAGCATAGTAAACATGTAACAATAAAAGATCTAATGGTCTATTTGGGATTACTGTGTCGTATTTAGTGGCATTACCACTTAGACATTCAAATCTTCTATACGAATGAGACATTTATGCCAATCCAAGATTAGGTGGTAACCTATGTCATGGCCTGTCTAGTCCTTACTGTTAATTCATTAGTACCGATCAAATTACAACACGACCATAAATCGATACAGAGGATTAAAAACCAGTACATACATCATTGATAAGAGATCACTCAGTGTAATCATTCATATGGATTATTTAGCTTCGAGATGTTAATTAGCATGTTCTGTCTAAAAACCATGGATTTGTTTATCAGTAATTCGTTGCATAAAACAGCATATTCTCAAAATTTTGAAGCATTCTCAGTAGGCAATATCTTACCTTCTGCATAATTCATTACAAAATACTTATGTCGAAAGAGTAAAGATCTTTTACTTCACCTCAATATCAATGTTATGTTTTGATAAAATTTAGGACCAGAATAATTTATGGTGAAAGAATGTGTAGTGTTGGCTAATATGTTAAGCCCACACAGTCTATTCTAACATTCGTACAGATCAGTTTATTCGTTCTTCCTGAACCATATTTTGACCATGTTAATTACTCACTTGTCAACCTTGACTGTTTTGATATGAGCGTATAGATGTAGGCACTTCTTATCTCATTCATTACATGTCTGTAACTTATTTTTGTGCTATTATCAATATAGATTACCGCTTGATTAAATCAAGTCGGCTCACACGACTTCTCCATTGCTCGTTATCTCGCTTCGTTCTCTTTTTTTCTCTATGTCTTACTGATTGCCTGTTATGACCGACAGTTGTATGAAATATACGTATTCAAACATCCATTCTCGTATCTGACTTATTTGATTTCGTTATTTGCCAACGCGAGTTGAGTACGGTATGTGCTTTGCACCTTCGAAGTGCAAAGTACTTCTACAAGACTGGCAGGATTCTAATCCTGTCTCACTCTGAATGGTGAACAGATAGAAGTAGTCGAGAAGTTCGTGTATCTAGGTGGCTGCATAAGTGCTGGTGGTGGCGTGAGTGATGAGATCAATCCACGTACAGTGAAATTCAAAGCGACTTATGCCAATCTGGGTCACCTTTGGCACCTTCGTGATGTTAGTCTGGCTGTAATAGGTCGGATCTACAACGCGCCGGTAAGAGCAGTTTTGCTCTGTGGTTGTGAAACCTGGCCTCTTCGAGTTGAGGACGTTAGACGACTCCCTGTGTTTGATTATCGTCGTTTCCGAATGATTGCTGACATTCAGTGGCAACACCATGTTAGTAATGCAGAAGTTCGGCATCGTCTGTTCGGGCGCAGAGATGATATTCCAATTGGTGTCACCATCTTGAAACATCGACTTCGGTGGCTTGGACATGTTCTGTGAATGTGGTCTCAGAGAGTTCCATGTCGTGGTCAGTGTATGACATGGTGTTGGAGTATGAAAAAAAAAGCTGGCTTCTGTTGGTCCGAGAGAGAGTGCTACACAGTGGCTAGAGACGTTATCAGACATGGCTCAGAATAGCAGCCAGTGGTGATCCTGATGTAACCTTCTTTCACTTCCTTCATAAATAGTGGTTTTATCTTCCTTAACCGGAAGAATTCTTCTGATTGTACCTTTCCGTTTTCTCCATTATTATTATTACACTATCTTACACTAATCTGTGGTCGTTATTATTGTTTTTTCCTTAGACGCATCTTACATTCTTTTTCCTCTTCCCACTCTTGTTGTGTTGTGTGGCGCATATATATTTGGTGCCTCCATGTACCAATATTTATATGTTCAAATAAATAAATAAGTTAAAAAAACATTAGGAACTAGAGTATCATAGATAGGGATCCGATTGTAATTGTGATGCATACTTCTGTTGAACTGAAAACTTGGACAAAATAACACAGGTGAAACTTTAATTTATGAACAATCTTTGAGCGACACTAAAATGATCTTGTGAATGTTCACCTACTGATTAGAGCTAAATGAGTGTTTTAAACCTGAGTGAAAGATAACGATTGTGATTTACAGTTGATGGTTAGGGATAAAAATTAGATTTAAGGGTTTTTATCACAAACTGACATCAGCTAAAATGCCGAGACACAATTTAGCTAAATGGATAAAGAATATTGTCTTATCACAAAAAATAATGAGATAACAGTCCAAGTTGAAGCTTTTGTTCATTTATCAAAATATACTACTTATATTAAAAAAGTAGTTTTACTTATATATTTAAATGTAACTATCCGATTTCATTTCATACAAGATAATTATAAATTGTTTATTATTATTATTATTATTACTATTATTATTATTATTATTATTATTATTATTATTATTATTGCAGCACCTCCTCCTCGTGTTTTAATACCACGTAATGCAAGTGTTGAGCCTAGAACAGATGCAATACTTACTTGTAATATATTTAGTTTAGATGAAAATATTGAAGTAAAATGGTATCGTGGTTTAGATCCAAGATTTGAATTAAAAAATGGACGTCGTCATACAATTAAGTTGAATCAAGATACACCTGCAGGTGGTTTAGCATCAGCATTCACAAGTACTTTAACAATAAGGTATGTTATATGTTATAATATTGATAGAATTTACAATTGAAGAATAATTTTACCCAATAATATTCATAAAGTTAAAAATGTTCGTTATTACTATTCAATTGAATTCGAATTATTGGAGTAAACACTTTGAGACACCATACTTACTTACTTACTTACTTACTTACTTACTTACTTACTTACTTACTTACTTACTTACTTACTTACTTACTTACTTACTTACTTACTTACTTACTTACTTACTTACTTACTTACTTACTTACTTACTTACTTACTTACTTACTTACTTACTTACTGACTTACTTACTTACTTACTTACTTAATCTAATCAATTCAAGGGTGAGACTATAATTTATCAGCGACGCTAGACTGACCTCTTGAATGTGTCCAGCTAATAACTGGGATCAAATAAGAATTATAAATCAGTGTGAAGTATTAAAATTATAATTTACAGTTGATGATTAAGGTTAGGAATTAGATTTTGGAGTTTCATCACGAACTGACATTAGCTATAATACCAAAACTCTATTTAGCCAAATGGATGAGTGAATTTCGCACCAAAATCCGAGTTATGTTATCTTATACATGATTGGTTCATCCATAAATTATAGTCTCGCCTATGTTATTTTGCTCAAATTATTGCTTTTGTTAACTCCAAGTACAATAAAAAGAACTATGTGTATGAAGTATTATTGTTATTACCGTTAGTAAGATAACAAATATTCATTCATAAAATGAAAAAAATTGCTTAAGATTATAAATTTTTGCAGCAGTTCGGAAGACTCTCCCAGTCTCTCACATAGTAAGAGAATTCCATTTACCTAAATAAATGGTTGCTCTGGTTGTCAGAAGGAGCATCAGCCTCGTGACTTTCGAAGGAACTCAGCTTTCACTATGAGGCGTGATAGCTCGTCTAAATGAAGACCTTCTGACTCTCAGGATAGAGTTTAATTGGTTTGAAAAATGTTTTCTGGTTAGCGTTTTTTTACGGAGTTAGTTTTATACGGAATGACGTTGCTAACCTTATGCTCAACCCTCCTCCTTTATCCGGGCTTGAAACTGGTAGTAGCCTCAGAAGGGCTTCAGGCGGAGTTACAATTCCAATTAGTTTAGCTTTAAAATACTGATATAAATTCACTTGATATTGTTTAATTGAATCTTCCCATTGATGTTCAGGACTGTAATTGATCAGTCTCTTATTAGCATATGTGCATACTGTGCGTATTGCTTCGATGTTGTCTTGAGACACAAAAATTCTAAGCAAAAATGGATAGTGGCTAGCAGTGGAATCCAGGATACGCGTTTCGTTCGATTTGCGACTCGTCAGTCGGATGTACCTGCATCTCAGAGTTAATGTTCACTCTGGTATATAAGTTAAATGTAGAAAAGTAGCTTCTAAAATTAAGTTGACTGCACATTATGAAATTGAAGGGAATACGTGAACACAACTAAAGAGTTAATTTTGAAACTTTATTCTATCCCCTGTTGATTAAATTACATGGTACATTCTTATGAATGTTGATACCTTTGCGTTTATTTATTCCTTTAAATTTTTTTTCTCTTACAGGTCTGCTACTGAAAGCGATTCGGGCAAGTATATTTGTGAAGCTGAACATAAAGGTGGTATAAGTGAAGCGGATGGATTCCTTATTATACACAGTAAGTACTTTTGTTAAATTGGATTTCAGATAACGAAGTAGAAGGGTGAAATGTAAGAGAAAACAGTACAGAAAATACTTTTATACCTGCTTCTATACTTTAGTGTACATATAAGTGATTTAAAAAGTTTTTTTCGTCATGGATTAATGTCGACTTAGAAACTCCTAAATGAAATTAGACATTAACACTGTTAGATGCGAGCTCAGTGGTCTACAGATTAAGAGTTCCAGAAATGGAATTGGCCCAAAAACTTACAGGTCCTCAAGAAACTTCATTATCATTTGTGACGCTAAGTTGGGATCCAGTCAATTCACGAATAAAATCTGTGATTATTCACAGTTCATATGGCTTTCATTTGTTTGGACGGTTTTACTTACAAATTGGTGTAAATTAGAATAAATAGAGCTGAAATAAACAACATTTTCATTTTACTTTATTATATGTCGTACTCATGAAATGAGATGTAGCTTGTTTCATCTTTGAGCAATATAGCTTATTTCATATTGTAGTACAATCTATATACTTGAAAAACAAACAAACAACAAATTTCAAGTAATTCACTTGGCATTGTTTTACTTGAAGCTTCCCATTGATGTTCAAGACTGCAATTGATCAGTCTCTTATTGGCAAATTATTCATACTGTTTGGATTGCTTCGATACTAACTTAATTCACAAGCATTATAAGCAAAGAT